CCTCGCGCAGCTCCCGGGGGGCGCGGCGCCGCGTCAAGCCCAGGCCGGGCAGGGGGCGAGGCTGCAGCTGTGGTGGCACCCAACTGTTGTCTTCAAACGGCGGCGGACAGCCAGGCCTCCGTGGTGTCCCCCGCCCTGCCTGATCATCTCCAACGGCCGCTGCCCCGCACGCAGGGTCCCCACGCCGCGACCTCAACGCAGCCCAACGCCTTTGTCTTGCGAGCGTCTCCGCATGCGCCGTCCGCTCCCATCGCGCCCTCCCTCGCGGTCCCTTTCTGTCCTCCCGACCGGCAGGTGGATCGGCGGGCCCCTCAACATCCGGCGCCGAGGACCTCGAAGGACCCCGTCCTCCTGGCCCCGCCCCGCTCGCGTCGCGCGGTGTTCCAGCGACTCGCGGGCATGCAAGGCGTGCGCTGCTGATTTCTGCTCCCCGCCGCCTGCTCCCTGTCAGACCCGCGCTTACCCACTTCAGTGTGACCATGTTTGTTCCCTACGGAGAGTCGATCCCCGACCTCGCGGGTTTCACCTTCCTGATGGTGAGTCCCCGTTTCGCGAAGTCTTCCCCGCCCAGCTCCGAGCTGCTGTCTCTCCGGCGGCGCCTGTGGTACCGCCACTGCCACTCGGGCTGTCTCACCCAGGACTGGCAGAAAGAGCACTTTTCACCATTTCAGATTTTCAGCCTGCGCCGAAAATGTAGGGGGTTTGTCTCTGAGGGCGGCGGTCCAAATAGAACTTTTGGTGGCGCTGTCACCAGGCCTTGTATCTAATTCTCCGGTTTGTAGTCTTTGTTGGCTGTACAACGTCATGTGTTTGGATATTACCGATACGTTGTACCTGTGATATGCGGGACATTTTGTTTACATTTTATCCTAGACAATCTTTTTCAACTAGTTTTAGAGCCATTCTTAAGCTAGCAAGTCATTGTCATTAACCAGAAAGTTACAGCTAAGGTAATAAAAGCAACTTTTGCCAATAGCTAACACGGTTTTATCGCTTCTAAAATTGTCCGTATTAATTAATTTTTTTCGAGAAACAGTCTATTTTATGACAATATTAGACTAGGACTAGGTCATTGTTCTTAAGGACTTTACAGTCTAGTTAAGAATACATAAGTCAATAAAGACAATAAATGCTAGGATATAAGTTTTTAAAAGATACAAAAAGACCTTAGGATCTATTAGGAGGGGAAGGGAAATAAGGGGCTGTTAAGAAAACCTTTTTGTGGAATCTTAAAAAAACATAATAAAACCAAGGAAAATTGGTCATGTGTTATATGTGGTTAGTGAAGGAAAGGGAAGAGTCCTGGTTTAGGTCATTAGCTCAATAATTGCTGTTCTTTCCTGAAATACAAAATTTTAGGACAAGTTTAGGCAAAAGTTTAATTTTGTACATGTTGAATGTGAATTACTTGTGATGTAAGCATGTGGAGATATCTATTAGACTGTGGAGTTCAGATAATTGTTCTAGCTGTAGCTAGAGATTTGGCAGTTGGACTATTTGAAGTCATAGGGATAAGTGTGTATGTGGTGTTTTTACTATGAAAATAAGCTCACTGCAACATTCAGGCATTAATAAAAAAAACCAGAAGCCCCGAGATCACTTTCGTTCATACCTCACAGCGTTTACACTTGCTTTCCCACTACCCAAAATATCCTTTCTCCCATCATTGTGTCAGTCTCTCCCTTACCTCTTTCAAGTCTATAGTTGTCACTTGAAATGATTCTTTTAAAAATTGCACCCTATTTAAAATTGCAGCCAAAGACATACACACTCACAGTCCCTTAATTTTTCTCCATAGCACTTACCACTGTGTATTTTACTCTTTATTTTATTACAGGTAAACTATTCCCTTCCTAGACTGGAAGCTCCATGAAGGCAGGAACTTTTGTTGATTTGTTATATAGCATTCCTAGCACCTAGAGCAATGATTGACACCTAGTAGGCATTCAGTAAGTGTTAAATCAATAGTCTCAAAGGTAGAGGAGGCCCCCACTGATGCCTCAGTTGCAACTAATGAAAGAGTCAGTACTACATGTGATGCACTTGAGCATAAACTTTCAGTATTACTGCTGTGATTATTGTCTTCTATCTAAACCTTTGAAAGTGCTGCTAATGTTGTTGCCTTAATGAACATTTTTTAAATAATTTCAGCCAGCAGTATCCGTTGGAAATGTTGGCCAACTTGCAATAGATCTGATTATTTCTACACTGAATATGTGTAAGATTGGTTACTTCTATACTGATTGTCTTGTGCCAATGGTTGGAAACAATCCATATGCAACGTCAGAAGAAGATTCAACAGAACTCAGTATAAATGCTGAAGGTATGTAAGACTTCAGCATATTTTATTCTGCTACAAGATAAAGTAGTGTTTTACATTAGAAATAGACTCTACAAGCATTTACGTAGTGCCAGCTTTATGCAGAATTTAGAATTCAGACACATTCTCCTATTCGCTTATATGCTAGTTTTAGTTCTTAGCCTTTTCTAAATGGCAACTCCTGTGAGAGATGTGAATGTATTTGTATCCTTAGATAGATTTTGAAATTTTTTTTTTTTGATATGGGTTTTATTTTCCCCCTTTCATTTTCAGGTCTGTATTCTTACTGACGTGTGTAAATATCACTAAAACCAGAGAAAGTGGAAAAGAGAATTCCACAGAGTTAAGTCCTGTGTATTTAATACGTGCTACCTCATCTAAGCCTCAGTCATCCCTCTCACATTGTTATAGAATCCATAATAATATGGTATTGATAAGGCTTGGAGAAATTAAGTTGCCTAATGCTATTAATAGGTGTAGGCTTTTCCCATGCTGTAAATATGCATAATTTCTTATTGGACTATTAGGCTTAATCAGGGAACACAGTTTATATTGCACTGACCGCTGTTTGTTTATAATGTGGCACTGCACTGAGTGAGGAAGGGAAAAGTTGTTGATCAGGAAGCACCGGAGCATCCAGCTACTTGGTTTGATGGCCAGTTCCTCTGTTGGCCTCTCAGTCTTTTACCATTTTAAGGTCAAAGTCAGAGTTGATGGAGGAGCATGAAAGACCATTGGTGGATTGAAAGAAGAAGCATTTTGTTTTTTGTCAGTTTTATTAAGCATGTCATTAGCTTGTGATAATGAAATACACTTTCAAGAAATGATATTGAAATTCTTGCAGGAAAGATGACTTTGTTAACACAAGATAGAATTTCAGTTATTGCCTTAAAGGATAAAGGACTGTATGTTAGAACTAGAATTTATATACTTCCACTCATGAGAACTATCATTTATTTTTACCTATAAGCTGAATACTGTGTGCATTTACATGGATTAACTCATTTAATCCTCACAATTACTCCATAGTTTTATAGATAAGGAACCCATTGCACAGAAAAGTTAAGGTCGTATGATTAATGATTGGTGTAACTTAGCTTCTAATCAAGGCACTCAGGCCCCAAGACCTGCCTCCTAAGCATCATACCACCTGCTAACTACACCTTCAGTCTGGTGGAAGACCTACTGGCTTTCCACTGACACTAATTGGCAACAGGTCAGTTGGATATAGCTCTTTAATCCATTTTATTCTTTTCTAAGATGAGGTATTTTGAAATAAATTATAGACTTCATGACACTCCACCCCCAAACATGTAAGTACGTGTACGTATCTCTTATTATTTAAGAACATTTTCTTATATAGCTAAAATACCATCAAATTTAAAAAAATTAGCGATACAGTTTCTTAATAACTTTCTATACCCTATCCACATTCATATTGGCCCAATTTACTCCAAAATGTCTTTTAAAATGTCCAAACCAGGATCCATAGGACATCTGAATTTGTGCCTTTGTATTCTCTTTTACTCTTTTTTTTTTTCCCTTCTTCATGAAACTGATTTGTTAAAAAACTGGACCCATTATTCTATAGAATGTCCTGCCTTCTACATTTGTTTGATTACTCCTTATGTCATTTGGCTTGTTCCTCTAGTCTCTGTATTTTCTGCAACTGTGTTAGATAAAAACTAAATATTTTTAGCCAGAATACATGAAAGGTGATGTTGCTTTCATATCTATCTCATCAGAAGAAAAAGGTGTTGGAAACAGGATCTTAACAACAAAAAGAACTGTGTGATACACTGATGGAGAACATGAGTATTGCTATTATAGAAAGTAGTATAGCTTACGTTTTAAAGCTTAGCTTTTCCCTCCTCAGTACATCTGTTGCATTGCACTATATGTCAGAGATAGATTAGAGGCCTGAGTGGCCTATGCCTTTGTCCCATTTCCCTAAATTTATGCCTTTTTCTTTAATTCCTAAACTTCATACTCTAGCCTCCTTTGCCCTGAACATACCTGGTGGTTACTAGACTTGCTAATGCAGCATAGCCCCCAATCATACCACACCAGTTCAAGACGACAATCCGCTAAAGACCTATAGCATGAGAGACACGATCCACCAAAGGATTTGCCCAAGTCTAGGGAAAATTAACTTTCTAGAAATGAATGTAATCTTTTCATAGTAACTAAAAGCTTACCCCTTAGCACAGTGGCCTAATCATTTGACCTTAAAGACTATATTTTGTCTTTGGTTCATATCAGAGCTTCTCATTCTTAGAGGTGAAGTTGGCAGGGACATCTTAAGCATCAGTAAATTGGGCCCCTTATAGAATCTATTGGAAGTTATAGATCCTTTTGCCAGAAAAAAATACACATACATTGATTTACAGAAAAAATTTCATGTTATTTCAGGTCTTTCACAAACTCCTAAAGAACATAAATGTACCTACTCCAGGGATTGTATTATATGGCTCACATTCTACATTTTATTCTTCTGTTAACCCCAATGAGTGTTGCTGATCTCTAAAGAGGGGAGAATATCAGAAACCAAAACATTCTTTTTTGTTGTTGTTGTTAGTTCATGTCTTTTATTAACCCATATACAATTAATTGTCTTCCAGTTTATTGAAGCAATAGGTCATACAACATGTGCCACATTAATGTGTCTGTCAAAGTGGCTGGCCATAAAAACTCCAGCACTGCATTCATCTGAAGGGCATTCCCGACAAAGGCGACTGATTTTGCCATTCTCACCCACCTTATAGTATTTCAGGACAGCCAGCTTAACCTTCTTTCTCTTAAGCTTATTCTTCTTAGGAGTGGTATAAGATTTCTTCTTCCTTTTCTTAGCACCAAGAAGAAGTCTCAACACAAGATTAAGAGTGGACTCCTTTTGAATATTGTAGTCAGACAGAGTATATCCATCTTCCAGTTGCTTGCCAGCAAAGAGCAGCCTTTGCTGATCAGGAGGAATTCCTTCCTTATCCTGGATCTTGGCCTTTATATTTTCTTTTGTATTCGAGGGTTCAGTCTTGAGAGTGGTAGTCTTCTCCTTAAGAGTTTTCACAAAAGTCTGCATTTTGGTGACAGTTCCACCACAGATGGCAGATCAGAAAACCAAAACATTCTTAATGATTTTATTTGTCGTAAAGCCTGTAAGTTCCAAGGGGAAACTTCTCTGGTTTTATAATTAAAGTCAGAAAAAAATTTTTTTGATATTTTCTTACAGTTAACTTTCTAGAAATGAATGTATTCTATAGAGTAAAGCCCACAGGTACATTTTGACGTACTTCTAAAATGTTTTACTTTAACCCAATGATATAGTGCATATGTTCTATATTTTAATTATTAAAAATATTTAGACACAAAGTTTTTATAATTCAATTTTAATTTTTATGTTAATTTTTTTCCTGTAACTCCATTTTAACTATTGTATGATTTTGTTTTCTTGTATTTGCAGTGTATTCTTTGCCTTCAAAGAAGCTAGTGGCTCTTCAGTTAAGATCCATTTTTATTAAAGTTAGTATGTTATATTTGCCTTTTTTATTTTTATTAAAGTAAAATATAATGAGAAAATACAAAGCATCATTAAGAATTAAGATTCAATAATCATTTCCGTTCTTTTCATTGTATGTATTGTTAAGAAAGGTCTGATTCTATAGTGAAATAGTCTCATAAAATTTCATGATTATATTGAAAGAAAGTGGGACATATTGCTTGGGTCTTATATATTCCTGATTAAGGTAGCATTGCTGAAAAAATTTAAGCATGTAAATATTATAGGTTTATTTGTATTACATTTCAACCAGTGGCACCTAGATATAAATTATGTATAAAAATATATTCTGCATCCAGCTTCTTTCTTCTTCCACTGCTTCCATTGTACCACGGTTGACTCTTTCGCCCAATTCTACTCTTGGCACCCCACTCCCCACAAATACGTAATAGTCTGCGAACAACACCACCAATAATCGTTTAAACCTAAATCAAAGTGCATCACTTCTCTCTTAAAACCCTCCAGTGGCTTCCCATCTCACTCAAAGTGAATTCACAGTCCTTACCATGGCCTATCAGACTCTATATCTGCACTGATAGGTAGCCACTAGCCATGTGTAGCTATTTAAATTTTAATTAATTAATTAAAAGTAAATAAAATTTAAAATTCAGTTCCTCCATCATTCTAGCCACATTTCAAGTTCTCCACAGCCATATTTGGCAAGCGCTTGCCATAAAAAGCATTTCTATTATTGCAGAATTCTATTGGACAGCTGCTCTACCTTATCTAACCTCCAGCCATTTCTGTGTGCTCATTGCCTGTTTCTCCCTTTAGCTTACCCTGCTTCAGCCACACTGGCCTCCCTCTGCTATTCAAACAGATTAAGCTCACTCCTATCTCAGAGTCTTTACATTAATTTCTTTGCCTGGAATACTTTTCCCTTAGTCTTCGCTTAAAGGTTACCTCATCAAAAAGGCCTTCCCTGACCTCCCTTGCTATCATCTTAATCCTGTGCTAGTTTTCTTCACAACTCATTGTTACTACCTGGCGTGTCATATATGTGTTTACTATTTACTTCTAATAGAAAGTAAGTGTTTCCTGAGAGAAATGATGATGTGTCATTCACTCTTATATCCCCAGCTTCTAGAATAGCGCTTTGCATATAGAGAAGCTCTCAATAAATGTTTGTTGAGTGGATTAAGGTATGGTCTGTTCAGGTCAGAAATTTATCAACATTCCAGAGGCCCTCCACCATGCCCCACCCTAGTCATTATATTGTTATATGAATGGACACTTAAGGCATGCACTTCTTTATGTCTGTCTTCCTTGACATTCTATTTGTGAGATTCATTTATGTCCTTGCAAGTAGAAGTAGTTTGTTTATTCTCACTTCTATGGGATTCTATTGTATAAACCATAATTTATTGATTGTACTGTTGATAGAGTATTTCATTTTTTCCAATTTGAGGCTATCGTGAGTAGTGTTGTGATTATTTTAGTATATTGGAATCACTCCTTACTTTCTTTAGTTAATGTCATACCCAGAGATCTTGCAATAAAAGTTGCTAACATTTTTACATTGTGCTTTGTGGCTTTTTGGTTTACTTTTTTGTTCATATCAATATCAGTGTGAGATATTGAGATAGAAAGTTCAAACACTCCTAAATAAAACTTTTGGTAGATGGAAATAGAGTGATTTCAGAGTAACAAACATTTATTGAGCATTGATTCTTTGCACCAATACTGTTCTAAGTACTTAATGTATATTACTCTACTTAATTCTCACAGTAATCCTCTGAGGCAGGTGCTAACATTATCCTCATTTTACAAATGAGAAAACATACACTGAAAGGTTAAGCAATTTGTCTGAGACATAGTCTGTGGGAGGTAAAGCCAGCATTCTAGTCCAGACAGCCTGACTCCAGAGTCTGTCTTAACCATTTTACTATGCTGCCCTCCTGTTTTTAAAAGTTAGCCGTTATCTGCATTTAAAATTTTATCGAATAATTTATTAACAGTCTGTTAAAAGGTTCCATAAAGTGTTTCCCCCCAAAATTTTATAACCTACATTTCAGATTTAATCAGTTGTTAACATCTTGCTACACCTGCTTGATTCTCTCTCTCTGTTTGCCTGTACGTGCAATTTTGTTCTGCCAGACAATCCATATTTAACCCCAGATACTTCAGCACATATCTTTCAAGAACAAGGATAATCTTCACAACCACAACACCATTACCACACCTAAGGAAATCAGCATTTAAGGAATTATTCAGTAGTATCATCTAACATATTCAAATTTCCCTGTTGTCTTTAAAATATCCTTCAATTCTGGATCCACTTAAAGTTCACAAGTTGCACTTGGCTATTACCCCCTTTTAGTTGGTATCCAGTGTAGAACTTGCCCTCCTTTCTAGTCTTCACAATATTGACTCCTTTGAGAAAGTGAGGCCAGGTGTTTGGCATTCTGGATTCACCTGATTGTTTTCTCAAGATCAGATTCAGGTCAGGAATTTCTGGCAAGAACATCTCATAAATGGCCATGTGGTAGTTTTTAAGTAACAATAGATTAATTAGAGAACTGGGAAATTTTCCTTTGTTAGAATAGAATTTTTTAAAATCTAGATTCCTCACTATTAGTTTACTTCTTAATTGTAAAGATATGATACGTAATTTATTGCTTTTCATTTTCCACCTTCAGTTTGAGGACAGTAAGTGGATCTAAAAATTCTTAGTTTATGTAAATATATATCATCACATAAAGTTGATAAAATATTACATAAGATATTCTCGTTATGCTCTAAGATCTAACTTTCAGATTTTTTTTTATTCTTTCAATATATACAAAGTATAAATCGAAGCCATTCTGTGAAAAACTGCTTTCCTGGGTGAAAAGTAGTAACTGCGCCAAAGTTATTGTTCTTTCGAGCAGTCATTCATATCACCGTAACGATCTGCAGCTTCGTAGGTATGTTTTTGCCTTTGAAAAAATATTTTTGTTATGATTTATACATTGTTATAATGACTTATCTATTAAAAAGTTAAAATAAGTTTTAAAAGCCATGTATATCCTTACCTCTCCTTCCTGGAATTTAGAAAGAGGAAGGCAAAAAAAACAGTAGCTAGGAAGGGAGCACAGTTAGGTAAATCCTTTTGGTACTATAGTTAGGGTACAAGGGAAGCTTTAGTGTAAAGATAAAGATGGTTCTGGAACTGTACTTTGATTATTTGACATCATGTGCTTGAGAACATCACAGAGCTCAGCTGATGAAGAAAAAGAGGAGGAAGGGTACCTAAGTTTTATTGGTAATTTTCAAAAGATTGGATTGATAACTTCTATTTATTTTATTTCCATATATTCAACCATTTGTATTTGCAGAAATCTAGTTGCCTTTAAGTATAGCTCCCAAGCATGTCAGACTGAATTCTTAAAAATTTGACAAAGTATCCAAAAGATAGAAATGTAATCTGTTTTATTGCATTATCATTTATGCGCCTAGAAAATCATGAAAAGTGTCAGCCAAGAGTAACCTTTCAAAACTGGACTAATTCTTAGGAATCCCAAATAGGCTTCATAGCCAGAAAGGGAGCATAGCTATGGGAAATAGATTTATCTTCATGATGGCCTTGCCTTAGTTTAAGGTTTCCTATTTCTTTACCCTCTCTCCTAAGTATGTAAATAGCAAGTCAGAGCAGTATTTTTACTTGTTATTCTTCCTTAGACTGCTGAAACTTGTGTTTTGCCTTGGGCAGCAAAACATATGGAGAACAAGATAATTTTTGCTAAAATAACTGATTTTTGCCTAATATTCATATTTGTGAATTTTTAGAAAGTTAATTCTATAATCGTTTCTAGTACTCCTTTCAGGTACCTTCTTACACCTTCCATGCAAAAAAGTGTCCAAAATAAAATAAAGAGCCTTAACTGGGAAGAGATGGAAAAAAGCCAATGCATTCCTGAAACACACGATTCTGAGTTCTGTATTCGTATTCCAGGAGGAGGTATCACAAAAACACTCTATGATGAAGGGTGAGTTTGTTTGCCTGTTTGTTCATTTGTTCCCCACCTTTTTTAAAAATAAGATAATTGGAGAGTGTGTTGGATTACTTATTGGAATTTTGAAAATGTAAAATAGGAACATTCAGGGGAAAGATTGGACTTTGATTGTGGAATAGGTTCCTGAAAAGCCATATTTAATGCTTTAATATGCATAGCATGTTAGGGATCCTGATACTTGTTCTATGACTCTCTATCATCTTTTTTTGTTTTAGTTTTGGTAAAATATACATAACATTGAATTAACCATTTTTAAGATTACAATTAAGTGTTGTGAAATACAGTCATAGTGTTGTGTACCCATCACCACTTTCAGAACATTGTCATTATTCTATATAGGAAATCTGTATTCATTAAATAAAAGTCCTATTTTATTTCTATACAAACAGTAGTAATGTCCTCGCTTTTGTTTTTTTATTTCTCAGTTTTGCTAAACATTTGTCAATTTTGTTGATCTTTTCAAATAAACAGCTCTTGGTTTTATTGATTGTTCTGTTATTTTTCTGTTCTTTGTTTTATTTATCTCCACTCTAATTAATCTTCATTATTTTCCTACTTCTGCTAGCTTTGGATTTCATTTGCTCTTCTATTTCTGGTTCCTAAGATGGAAACTTGGGTTATTGATTTGAGAAATTTCTTCTTTTTTAATATATGCCTTTAATTACTATAAGTTTCCCTCTTAGCACAGCTTTTGCTATATCCTTTAAGTTTGTTGTGTTTTCATTTTCATTCATCTGTTAAGTATTTTCTAATTTCCCTTGTGATTTCTTATTTGACCCATTGATTGTTTAAGAATGTGTTGTTTAATTTCCGCATATTTGTGAATTTTCCAGTTTTTCTTCTGTTGTTGATTTCTATTGTCATTCATTTGTGATGGAAAAGACACTTTGTATGAGTTCAGTCTTTTAAATATGTCAGTTCTTGTTTGTGCCTTAACAAATGGTCTATCCTGGAGAATGTTCCATGTGCAATTGAGAAAAATGCCTTTCTTGAGTGGAGTGTTCTGTATATGTCTTTTAGGTCTAATTGATGTATAATATTGTTCAAGTCATCTGTTTCCTTACTAATCTTCTGTTTGTTCTATCCATTATTGAATATGAAGTATTGACGTCTTCAACTACTACTGTAGCACTGTCTGTTTCTCCCATCTGTCCTGTCAGTATTTGCTTCACGTATTTGGGGGCTCTTGTTTTATACATGTTTATATTTGTTACATCTTCTCAAGTGACCCTTTTATCAATGTAAAATGGACTGCTTTGTCTCTTCTAACAGTTTTTGACTGGAAATTCTATTTTGTCTGATATTAGTATAGCTATTCTGCTGTCTTATGGTTACCATTTTCGTAGAATATCTTGTTCCATTTTTCACTTTCAAACTGTCCGTAAATCTTAAGTGAATCTCTCGTAGAGAACACATAGTTGAATATGTGTTTTTATCCATTCTGCCAATCTCTGTCTTTTGGTTGGAGAGTTTAATCTATTTTCATTAAAAGTAATTACTGATAAAGATTTCTGTCATTTTCCTATTTGTTTTTTATATGTAATATAGCTTTTTTGTTCTTCATTTCCTCCATTAATGCCTTCTTTTGTGCTTAGTTGATTTTTTGTAGTGACATGTTTTGATTCTCTTCACATATCCTTTTGAGTACAATCTGTAGATGCTTGCTTTGTTGTTACTATGCGGATTTCATATAATATCCTAAAGTTATAAGAATCTAATTTGAATTGATACTCACAACTTCAGTTGCATACAAAAACTACTCCTATACACACTGTTCTTCCTACTCATTATATACTGTCATCACAAGTTACATCTTTAAACATTTTGTGCCCAATAACAGATTTATAATTATTTTTATGCATTTGTCTTTTAAATCCTCTACAGTCACTCTTAATTAGTCTTTAGGAATCCTGAACATTTCAAAGGTAACCGAAAGTAAAGATAGAAACTAGAGAGAGATCTTTTTTCTTTTAGCCCATCTTTTTATAAATTGATTTATGTCCATGCCCAGTACACACTTACACTATCTCTGTTTTTACCTGCCTTATCCTGTAGTCTTCTGTTTCATAAGACTGAAGTTAAGTTCAGTGCTAACCAGTAGGCCTTGCTGTATGCTTTAACTCCCCCTGAGTCTTCCTCCTTACTGGGAATTGATGTGCCTGATAAGTTCATGGAAGACAGAGCCAGTAGTGTGAAAAGGAGGGAGGGAGCTTTTAGAGGGTGGCTTCTGCTTCTTCTCAAGCACATATAATCTACTCTTTGTTCTCCCATGAAGAGAGATGAGGGACATCCCTCTGCAATAGGTTTAGAGAGTCGGTCAGAACTAACCCTAGGAAAAATATGTCCCTACTACCAATAAATCTGCTCAGACTCAGCTAATAAATCTGCCTCTGTACATAACAATTTCAGGAGTATAAACTTAGCATTAAAAAATAGAATGACTGGTTTGCTTGCTTTAAAATCTGTGTTATAACTTCTGCATGACCTGAAGTCATGGTAGTAGTAACAGTAATATAATAGTCGAGGTAATAGCAAAGTACGTGCCTGGTACTGTTCTGTGCACCTTACGTGTATTAAGTTATTTAATTTTCATAATAATCATATAGGTATGCACCGGTATTAACCACGTGTTGTAAATAAGATAATTGAAGGTTCAATAACTGCTAAAAGTCATATGGGTGGTAAGTGGCAGAACTAGGATTCAAACATAGGCATCTGGCCCCAAATCCTGTACTTTTAACCATTTCACTATAGGGTTTAACCCATGATCCTGTTCTTCCCAATAAGCTTTATTCTTTGTCTAAAAGTTGAACCTATTCTTTGTTATTTGTAATTACTTATGCCTCTGCTTTCTTTCTGAAAATATTTAAGACTTTGTCAGAAATGATACAGGCATTTCAACTCATTTTCCCAGTAGTAATTGTTTTGTCCATCTCTGGCTATACTTACATGTCATTTCGCTTTCTCTTTTCCCTTAAAACCTACTCTATTCTTATTAAAAGCATCATTTCCTTCAACTTCCTTTTTTTTTCATAGTCCATCCCTCATTTGTGTTATTACTTTTTTTCCAGCCTAGCTGATTCCCCATAATATATATAACCTAAACTGTTCTTTTACCACAGCCTGGAACCTCTGGCTACCTAATCATTCTCTGCACCTGCCCTGCTAACCACCAGCTTTGAATCTCTCTTGCTTCATTCAGGCCACATCATTTGTGGCCTAGACTGCTGTATTAGTCTGCTCAGGCAGCCATAATATAGACTGCGGGGAGCTTAACAGAAATTTATATTTCTTCACAGTTCTGGGAGTCTAGAAGTCCAAGATCAGGGTGCTGGCATGGTTGGGTTCTGGTGAGGGCTCTTTTCCTGGCTTGCAGATGGCCACCTTCTGGCTGTATCATCACGTGGCAGAGAGAGAGTTGGTGGGGAGGTCTCTCTTCTTCTTCTTATAAGTCCACAGTCCTGTTGGGTTAGGGCCTTACCCTTATAACCTAATTTAACCTAATTACCTCTTGAACATACTATCTACCATCACATTTGGGTTAGGGCCTCAACAGAGCTTTAGAGGGACACAGTTTATAGCAACTACTGTCAAGGTCTCTTGATTCCCATGCCACCTCCATTCTGACCCACTCTGATCCATCTTATCGGTGTTGCTAGAATTAACTTTCTAAAATGTAAAACTGATCATAACACTCTCTGAGTAAAATCCATCAGCAGTTTTACTTGCTTTTTTGCATAATCTGGTTCGTGCTCCTTAATATGCCATACAAGGCCCTCCATGGTCTCCTTGCCTGGCTCATTCCTTGTTTTCTATCCACCTTGTACTCTACTCCAGCTGAACTACTGCATTCACAATTTCCTAAAAGCTGTCTTATTCTTCCTTGCTTATTCCTTCTACTTTTCTTTTTTCCCCTTGCAAAAACCTACCCAGTTCACAAGACTCTAATGACACATCATTTCTTGTGTGTCCTTGCTGTGTCTCTCTTCTACATAAGGAATTTACTCCCTCTCTTTGTACTCCCATTGCACTCTACCCTTTCAGACTGACTTCTTATTTTTTACAAATCAGTCTCATACTTTTGTTTCTTGCCATGTCAGAATACTGATATCAGACTTGCCCTCCTGCTGTAAACAACTAGAAACTGGACAGAATTAATGAAACAGCTGTTTTACAGGCATGGGACAACAAGTAGCACACAAGTGTGGTTCTTTGAGAGAAGGCAAATAAAGTCCTACAATTGCCCCAACTTTTTGCTTGGAGATACTTTCCAGACTACAACACAGGGATGGGGAGGGAACCCAGATAGAAAGCTGCAGTCTTGCTGAGTTGAGGAAATACCAGATCAGAGTTCGTGAAGGCTGAGATAACTAGAAAGTGCAAGGCAGAGAACCAGAGAGGAGGAAGCTACTCAGAAGAAGAGCTCTGAGGATCTGAATTTTAAGCCACACACGTGTAGGGTGAAACTCTGTGAGGCCAGATAAACAACAACTGGGTAGCTGTCAACTTAGCAACATTAACAAAATATTTTAAAAGTTAACAATAATAACCAAAAATATTATCAAAGTTAGACATACTCATAGAACATTTAGAAAATATAGACTACTCAAACAATATTTAAAATACTCAGTTCTAGCACCCAGAAATAACTACCACTAATAAGTTTTTAATCTGTTTTCAACTTCTTTAAAATATAGTTGAATTAAATATACCTATCTCCAAGATACAGCAAAACATTTGTCACTTTAGAGTTCATCCTACTTGACAATGTTTCTCACAAAATCGATTTTATTTAATTTTCTAACACAAATCTTTCACTCATTTGTAACCAAACCCATGTTTAACATTCAGTGTAATTATACATTCATTGCAAGAAAGTTTTTGAAATTGCAAAAAAAACCCACAAAACTTATAGCTTATATAGTTTTGAACTCTTTTTCTTCCTCAATGCATATCATGATTATTTGCTAAATTTTTTTGTAATATACACATATTTTGCCTTCCCACTATCAGAACAAATGTATACTCTGATCTCTGAAAAAGATACTAGTTGCTCTAATAAAAATGGTGACAGTGGTGTGGCTCACCTGAGATCCGTTATATTTAATTGGAATAGAAGTACTTTGGTAATTTAATAATGGCTATATCTCATATGTCAGACTTTAATGTCACAAAAATTAATCATTCTCCACCTATTTTTTTTTTTTTTTTTAGAGAGGACCAGAGGATGGTATTAAAACTATTATTCTACTCTTTATGTTGCAAAGTAGTAGAGGCACTGTAAGTTCAAGACCATACACCAGTGCTTTTCAAGCTACTGCCTTTAAAATGAAGGCACTGCCAGAGTGCCTAGCCTTCTCTAGGCAGGAGCCATTTCTAAAGCTGTTATACATAGATAGCATGAGTGTTTAGGAACTAGAATCTTCTGAGCCATCACAGCTCACAGTGCTTCCATACAGAGCTAGAGTGTCCCTAAGATATTTCAGAACTATGTACTGAGATGGTATGATTAGTACCAACAACTTCCAATTTCTAATTTTTAGAGACTGAGATGCTGCAGTAGGCTCTCTGGGTACATCTGAGACTTCTGAACCCACATGTCAGAATCTCTTCCACATCTCATACCCAGCTTAGGAACTCAACTCACCTTTATTTCTGTTGCTCTCTGTCAGTCATGTGCTCTCATATTTTGGCATTAACATTTTTCTCAGAGTTCTTGGTTTTAGGGTGTTAGAAACAATTTTTGCTTTTGTTGGCAAATAGGAAGCATTTTTGCATTGGTATATCCATCTCATCACTAGCTTGAAACATCTCTAGCAAAACAAGAGACTGTGTTATAGAGACAGAAAGACCTAGGTTTGAGTTCCACCTCTGCCACTTCCTAGATATAGAACTTTGAGCATGTTAACTACATTTCAGTCCCTTTAAACCTCAGTTACCCCATGATTAATTGCTAACACATTAATTATGGGCATTGTATTGGACACTGTTTTAAGCACAGCCTTCATTACCTCCTTTAAACCTCACACTGATCTGCGAGGTAGGTTCCGTTGTGATCCTTTTACAGATGAGGACAGTAAAGCCCTGATTAACTTGCCCAACATATCTGCTAAGTGACAAAGCTAGAGTTTGAATCCAGGTTGTTCCCATTATTCCAAATACTCGTTTATGAAATGGAGATAATTATAACTTCCTCAAGGATTGTAGTGATTGAATCAAAATATGCAGGCATTGCTTAAGCACATAGTCACTCAATAGTAAGAAGTAGTTATTTTCTCTTTATGCCATAGTTTTTTCCCCACTGTTTTAGACTATTAATAACGAGGTATTAATCTTTCAGTCTCTTTGCTGTGGTATGTCTGAAAAATCACTGTCTTCTATAGTAGATTTTAGTAGGAGATCAGAACATATCTCATGTCCTGTAGCCAAGGATAGAGGGGATGGTTTTTCATGCAGCCTTGGTGTGAGGCATAAACTTGCATATGTCCAAGATGAGCATTACGTGGCTTCTAGTCCTGTTCCCACAAACAGAAGAAAATATCTGGGGCAAAGGAAAATAAGTGATCTTGCCTAAAGCCTGGCAGATTATCTTAGCTATAAAAACAGACACACTGGAATCTGCAGCCGCTATAAGTAGAATACTTCACTATTTTTTATATTTGTTGTAGCTGTTCTAAAGAAATCCCAGTGGCGGTTCTGCTGAAATTTGTTTCAGAAGGAGACAATATCCCAGATGCATTAGGTCTGGTTGAGTATCTTAATGAATGGCTTCAAATTATCAAACCGCATGTAAGTATTCCTACAGCTTAATCCTCTGATTTCTCTGGTTATGTACTCATAAACTTGCATTTATGTACTATGTAAGTAGACCAAATAAGTAAAAGTTCATGTTAAATATAATATATCTTTAAGTAAAATTTAGTTTAGCCGAACTTTTGAAAAGAGGGCAATTAACCAACCTATTGTCTACATTTGTTATAAGGCTGATTTTCCAAAAAGGAAAAATCTTAAGTATTTCATTGTATTTATTGTTTAAGTTGCATTTATGCCAAACAGCTTATTATAAGAATAAATAAGTTCTTTTTGGAATTCAGGATTTTTTTTTAGGAAACAAAAGGTATTGCTATGTGAGCTATACTGTAGCTATTGAATATGGATATAATTAAAGTATTTCTCTCTATTATGAAATAAGAGCATCACACCTAGGGAAATCAGTTAGTTTTTAGGCATAACAGAAGTACCATAAGGCAGCTTTATATGGTAGGTAACTGTCTTTTTAATTTGTGCTTTTGCCGAATCACACCCACACAAAAAAAACCTGTTCCTTTTCAATTTGATTTTATTTGATGGAATCTACAGCCTTTCTGACATATCTTTATGATTTGGAACTTGAAGAAATTTATCTTAAGTTGACATAAAGACATAGAAATTTACTACTTTGCTTTTCCTTACCAAAAAAAAAAACAGCTAAAAGTATCAAAACCAAAATGAATTAAAAAGCTAGAGAAGGGAGAATTTTGTAATACTTAAATGTTAAAAGGCGATTTGGTGGCAAAGCAGAAGAATTAAAATGTATTGTTCTTCACTTACAGTGTGAAGACCCCACAGCATCTACCTTGCCTTGGAAAATACCAAGTTCTTGGAGATTACTCTTTGGCAGTGGTCTTCCCCCTGCACTTTTTTGATCTGTTTTCAGTTTTATACCTAATGTCCCAAAATACTTATTGCCAACACAACTGTTAAACAACTGTATAAAAAGTTGTATTATCTAATATATTAGAAAATAAATCTTTACTTTTCACTGAGAATCTCAAGGAAAAATAGATTAACACAGGTTGTTTTTGCCATGCTTTCATCATATGCAACAAATGTAAATTTTGTACAATAAAATATTTCCTAAATAATTTTGTGAAATACATCTTTTTATTTTTTTGACTCAGAGTTCTGTATTACTTTCCTATTTCTGCTATAACAAATAACCACAAACTTAGTGGCTTAAAACAACACAAATTTATTATCTTACAATTCTAGAAGTCAGAGTACAAAAATAGGTCCCACTAAATCAAAGTGTTTACAGGGCTGTATTTTCTCTAGAGGCTCCAGGAGTGACTCTGTTTCCTACCCCTTTGCAGCTTCTAGGAGTTGCAACACTCTGGCTAATGACCCCTTCCTCCATCTTAAAGCCAACAACGTAGCATCTTGAAGTCTCTCTCCCTCTTTCACTTATAAGGACCCTGTGATTACATTAGGCCCAATACAATAATTCAGAGTAATTCCTCCACCTCAAAAAATATTTAGAAGAAAAGACAATAAAAGTTGTTTTCATTTTTGAATGCCTGTTACATACCAGTCACTTTTTATACATGATCTTATATATCTGCTATTTGGCTGTGTTATATCCGTGCCTTGGCTTTCTCATCTGTAAAACAAATACTTATAAATTAAGGGCTACACCTTACTCCATAGTACTTAATAAGTGGTTTCTTATATATAAATCATTCTGGGTTCCTTTTTTAATTTTAATTAAGTTTATTGGGGTAATAGTGGTTAATACAATTATATAATTTTCAAATGTATATCATTTGACATCTGTATTTTCTATTGTGTGTTTACCACCCAAAGTCCAGTTTCCTTCAGCTAACATATATTTGATCCCCTTATTCACTTCACCCTCCCCCATCCTCCTATATTTGACCTCTTTTACCCCGTCTACCTCCCACTCCTCCCCCACTCCGCTAGTAACCACTAGTCTATAGTCCATATCCATGAGTCTCTATTTGTCCTGATAATTTGTTGCTTTTAAGTTTATATCCCATGTATAAGTGATATCATGTGATTTTCTACTTTTTCTGTCTGGATTATTTTGCTTAGCACAATTATCTCGAGGTCCATCCATGTTGTCGCAAATGGCAGTATTTCACTCTTTTTATGGCTGAGTAATATTCCATTGCATATATGTGCCACAGCTTCTTTAACC